GGGGGGGGGGTTCCTCATGCGCGTGCGCGTGTGTGCGTGCGTGCGAGCGTCTGTGTGAATAGGACGACGGGAGCATGGCAGGCTGCGGGTCCCGGCGGGACCAGGCCCTGCGGGCGGTGCGACTCACAATGACAGGGCAGGTCGGGGAGGGACAAATGACCACATCGCATGCCCGATGACGCTGCCGCTGCTGACACGTACTCCAAATTTTGAACGGTTTTTCACCCATCCCACAATAATTTGCCGGCGACATTTTTCGACCCGCAGAGAAGAGGAAGTCTCCTCCCTGCTCGTCAGGACGGCCGCGCGGGTCGGCTAAATATTCCACGCCCCCGCCCCGCCTCGGCGCCACGCCCGCCCTCTTACTGTAGTCTAAAATCTAATCTCACGACAGGGACCCTCCCCGGGGCGGGCGGGGAGGGCCAGCTAGGGCCGCGGTGGGCACCTTGTCTCATTCCGAGGGCCGCCCTGCCCCGCCCTGCCCGCGCCGTGCGGCTCCACCCTGCGCCACGCACCCTCCCCCACCCTCCCGCGAGCCACGCTCCCTTATTCCTTTCCTCCCCCATAACATCACAAACCTCCCTCCCCACCCTCCTCCACCCCATCCGCCTTATTGCGTCGAATAAGTCCCGAAAATTTACGACCCTTTTTCTGGTCGTGTAGCTACAGAAAACGCAGCGGCGGTGCTCGCCGGGCGGAGCAGTGCGGGCGCGGCGCGCGCCGGGGAGATGGAGCCCACATTTCATTAGAGCAACTCACGAGCTGAGCTGGGCGGCCGCAGGCGGCCAGAGGCTGGACGGGTAGCAGCAGGGCCGGGGCCGCGGCGGCCGGGACCCTCTCTACGTACCCGGCCAGGCCCACACATTCATCGCCTGCATACCGAGGGGACCCGGCCCGCCGCGCCGGGCCAGGCCTCGAGTACCTGGCGGGCCCCTCACGCGCACCCTGCCCAGCCAGGGGGGGAAGGACCACGAGTGGCGGATTGCCTTCGCAAACTTGCCTGGACCTGGCGGGTCGGACGCTACAATCGCCAAACGACCAGTCCGATAGTCTTCCCTTCACTGACCCGCCGCCGCCCTTCCTCCCGCCCAGCGCCCACCCCCGCGTGGCTCGGAGAGGGGCGTGGCGGCTGCGTCAAGTTCAAGTCCACGCACAGCAGTGCGTGGGCCTTACCCCGCCGCCGCTGGGCTGCGTGGGCGACACCCCGTGTTGGGCGAGGCGAGGCCCGGCGGCCGGCACGCCACACGGCCTCCTCCGCCCCACCCACAGCGCGAGCCGAGCAGAGCCGAGGGCGTAGGCCGAGCGCGGCCGGAGCCGAGCCGAGCGCCGCTCCGATTGGCTCGGGGCGATTTGCTCGATATTGAGCGAGTGCAGCCGGGGCCACGCTACACCGCGGCGCTTGAAGGAGTGCCGCAGGCAGTGCCGCAACCACACCCCGGCGCCTGGAGGAGTGCCCAGTGCCACAGACAGTGCCACAGGCAGCAGACAGTACCGGCGAGGGAAGAGGGGGGGGGGGGGCATCGTTGAACGAGGCGGGCAGCAACGCAGCCCCGCGACAGGGAGAAGAGCATAGAGGGGGTCGTGGGTAGGTATGGATTCGTCGGGGGATGGAGACAGGTGGAGAGCAGTGGGGAGTCACCGGGACCCCCGCACCCGCAGGTGCGCAGGTGCGCCAGAAGGGAGTAACCCAGGGTGTTCGATAGGGGTGGAGCGCAGCAAAACGACAGGGAGGAGGAGGATCTCGGTGGGCGGAGAAGGAGTAAGAAGCACGAGCAGCACGAGTAGAAGAAGGAGGCAGCGCGGAGGACGGAGCGCAGAGGAACGGGCGAGTTAGGGAGGGAGGGGAGGAGGAGGAGGAAGAGGAGGAGGACTAGGGAAGAACGGCAGGCCGCACAGCCTAGGCGCGGCCCGGCTCCCCCTTCGCTCGCTCGCTCTCTCTCGCACCCGTGGTCCGCGGACGCTCGTCCTTTTCGCACCCCGGCCGCGCGCCGCCTGCCTCCTGCCTGCTCCATCGGGCGCATGTTCTCCTAGGTCACGGCTAACTCCCCTCCTCGCTCTCCCCCTCCGCCGCTCCGGCCGCGCCGCGTCCCTCCCGAGTCATCGCTACGGACCCATAGCACGGCGCTGCGTAGAGCCGTAGAGAGTTTGAGGACGAGAGGAAAAAAGATCTCTGCCCCTCCACCCTCGCCCCTTCCCTACCCTTCCACCGCCGCACCCCGCTCCGCCGCGGTCCACACCCTCCCCGCCGTCGCTCCTTCCAGAACACCCCAAGGAGCCCGCAAGACGAAATCGAGATTGTTTGAGGAGGAGACTACTGCAGGCCCGCCCAGGTTGGCTCAAACTGAATCCCGCACGAGTCGGGAAAGTTGTACACAAGAGCGCCCCCTCCCCCTTCCCCACCCCCTTTGCACTACTCGAGAGAGTCCGCTAGCGATAGCTCCAACAACTGCACGAAAACGCAGGAAAAAGAGGGGAGGGGAAAAGCGCGTAGGACGACCTACGGAGGAGGAAATTACAAATGCCTCGGCAGATTGTATCGGCAAGCGAGGCGCAGCGTAAGGGATGAGAGAGATATCTCCGGGAGATGAGAACGGGGCCCCTCTCCGGCAGGTCGGCGCAGCTCTCGCCCCGTGAGGTTAGGCCGGACCGAGCGGCCGCCGCCGAGCCGCTGCACCGGGCAAAATGGCATTCCACAGATCAATGGGAGGGGATGAAAGACTAGGACTGGAGTTGCCGTGTGGTGCTCGCCTCACAACTCGTCTCGTCCATTTTCGCGACCCAATCGATAGGCGCCGAGCCTCGCGCGTTTGCCAGGCGCGATATCGGAAGAGCTTCACTGCTTATCGCGAAACAAGAGGCGCCGGGTTCTCGTCCTGCCCACCCCCTCCCGACCCTGGCCTGGACCCGACCCTAGGGGCCTGTCTCCGAGTCCTAGTCTTCGAGCATCAGATCGACTACGATCAGCACAGGAGTGAAAGACGCGAAACTAGCACTACAAGTTTAAATCACTGTCCAACAAAACATGTTCCAGGGAACCATGAGCATTTCCCCTGAAAACCAATAGTAGTTGGAAATCTCCAAAACGAAAACGAAAAGCAGTCCATCACATAATTCACAGTAAAAACCGTACAAATCAAAAGAAAATCACGAAAACAAAATTTTCAAGTGTAAAATTACATTGATAGTAAAGCGCAAAACGCGTTGTCAAATCGAAAAACGACTATAACAACGTAACTAGATTATAAAAGCAAACCGATAGGTACGATGCATAAACCCGTTCGCACATCGGGGCCCCGAGGCTCGCGTCCACGAAGTCCAGCCCACTTCATGAACGACCCCGTTCCTGACCTACGTCCGTCCACGGCTCGGCAGCGCCCATGACTCCGTCGGCGGGTCGGGGAGGAAAGGGGCTTAACGTTCTCGGCGCGGCACAAGTCGGGCAGGAAGGCGATAAGGACACTGGCTGCGGGTCCGGGGCCGCGGGCGAGCGCGCACCCCCGGTCCGGACCGGCACCGCGGCCGCGGCCCGCACCCGGCGGCCTCAGTTCGGCCCCGCGAGCGCTCAGCAGGCAGAGGCCGCACAGCCTAGGCCACACCGCGGGCCGCGGGAGAAGGGAAGGCACATCGCGACAGGCCGCGGGGATGTTCGCGTCACGGCACTACAAGGCGAGCAGGTCACAACACTACTTACATGTTGACGTTCGCATAGATAGATCCTGGGATGATGTCTTGACGCTCTTGTTTTTCTTCTGTGTACGTGTGCTCTCTTCCACTGACGGGTGTGCTCTGGCTGTGCTGAGCAGCGCTGGGCGTCGAGTCGGGCTCGGACACACTCTCGGCCCGCCCCTCCCTCCCTCGCACTCCCCCCTCCACCACCCGCCCGCACGACGGCTGCCTCCGGGCCGGCGCGCTCCCCCTCCGTCTCCGTTGCACTCGCTCGCACGGCGCCCGCCCCCGCCCCACCCGGCCCGCGGGAGCGACGAAGAGGCGTCCCGCGTCCTCCACGCACGCGGCCGCGGCGTCTGCGCAGAGCGCGCTCGGGGGAAGCGCCGAACAAACCCCGAACGGGAGGGCAGGAGGGGCGAACCGAACCCGAATATGAATAGGAGTCGGGACGGGCCGGCCGAAAAGAGCCCTAGACGAGGCGTTCACCCACCCCCACCCCGCTTCCATCGCCCCCCGGCTCCCGGCTCCCGGCTCCTAGAAATCGAGCGACCCTCGCGGAACGAAAAGGCCCGTGAATTTCTAGGGAGGTCTAAGGTACACCGTCTCCAGCGTCACTCATGACTGCCTGCACTATGACAGGGTGGGTGTAAAGTCTGGACTTTTCTTGGGGAATGGGGCTGGGTGCAAGCAAGTAGGCGCAGCAGGCGCGGACCTATGACAGAAATCGCCCTTCTGTTCTCTCCCCCTTTTTGCAGTGCAGTACATCCCCCTGCCCTTTCCTGCCCTTCTTTGCATCGTTATCCCTGCCGCCCTGTACAGGGACAGGAGGGAGAGGGGGAGGGGAGGGGAGGTAGCGCCGCTATCGCCCTCGCGAGCCATTTGGCGGAGTGGAGCCTGCCTCGGCGGGGCGGGCGGAGGAGATCCCTACTTCCAAGACGCCGTCGCTCCCCTTCCTCTCTCTCGCCACCCTCCCGACTCCCCTCCCCTCTCTTCCTACTGCCTCCCTCCTCACCACTTTCTCCAGAAGCAAGCAAGGGTCCCCTTTTGCTTCTCTGAATTTCTCGCCACCCTCTACCTCACGTTCTCGCGGAAAATCGTGGTTGTCTGGGTGGGAATAATAGCGAGAAGGGCGCACGGATCGCGGGCTCAGTTTCAGCGGTACAAGGGGGTCGCCCACCTCTAGGTCCAGGAGGGATATGGTTTCCAGTGATTTCGGTCGGTTGGATTTGTCGGAGAGCGACGGGAGAGGGGAGCAAAGGCTCTGTGCCTGTGCCCTTTTGACGATGCCAAACATGCTCGCAAATAATGAATAGACACTGAAGCTCGTAAGCCCATCCAGAAAAATACTTAGCCGCATATTGCAGTAGAGAATATACGTCGCCTGCTCAGGGACAACCAGGGCTGTGACAACCAGAGGTGACAACCATAGAAGAGTGGTTCTTCCCGCTTGGCGATATGCAATACTCTCAACGATTATTTTATGGCTGTCCTTCAGCGAACTGATAGTTGCCGCCCACCTACGGTTTCTGCGGGCATAGGCGTTTTTGTGACACCGGTGGCACACATGCACTTGGGTCCGGTCGGAAGAAGAGATACCGTAATTATTCAGCCTCGAATTCGCGCCCCCGTCGTATCGCATCTGTATCCCCCGTCCCGTCCCCCACCCTTCTCCGTTCCCGACGCCGATGGTCGAGCTACCCGCCGCCACCCCCGCGAACCGGTGCCGCGCCGCGTGAGGGGTTGTTGCACAGCATCCCCCTCGCGGACGCGGCGTGGCGGGGCTGGCGGCGCGGGGCGCGGAGCTAGCAGACTGCGCTAGAGAGAGACACCCCTGATGGGCCACAATGAATGGTTGCGCGGCAGGTGTGTGTGCGTGCGCGCGCGCGTGTGTGTGTGTTTACTACATGTTTATCCCGCGCGCGTGTGTGTGTGTGTGCTGCACTCGGCCTGCCGGGCCTGCCTATGAGATGCGCACCACCCTTATACATCTCTTCACATGAACCTGTCACTACTCTCGTCGGCAGCGCCGCATTGTCCCGTCACATCCCTCTCCTCGCTCACTCGCTCCGCTCCGTCTCGCTATGCTCCCATCTCGCTCGCACAGGCCCCATTGTGTGCGCACCTCGGACAATCTCTCTCTCTCCCTTTTATTTTTATTTTTTGCGCCCGTGCGTCGTCTTCTTTCTTTTAAAGACCGTGCCGTGCGTGACCTTGCCGTGCCTCGCCTCGCTCCGCAGGGGAGTGTGTGCGTGTGGAAGGGAGAAGGGTGTGTCCGAGGGGGGACACGGTTTGTTACAGTCGAAAGAGAATGTCAGCCCCTGACTCCGAGCCACCCCCTCGCCCTAAACGCGATCGAAGGCTTGATTCAGGGAAAGAAAGGGACGACCGGACCCGCGGCCCTGTTGGGATACGATGAGGGTCGGAGTCGGAGGATGTTTTCCCTCTATAATCGTTATTTTCAAATTTGTGAGTCATTTCCCCCTTTTAATCGACACGATATTGAAGTAAACAGGACGAGGTTGCCCATTCATCCGGCGACGCAACTCCACCAGTGCATCCAAAAGGGCAGGCTGTTGCGGGCTTCTGTTTTTGGAGCCTATGCTTTAACATGGGAGGAGGGGGAAGTAGCCCGCAACAGCCTGCCCTTTTGGATGCACTGAACTCCACCCGAGCCTGAGAGCTCTTATATTTGCGGTCGGGTGCAGCGGCGGGTGCAGTGCAGCCGGCCCGTAGTTTGTTCCGCGAATGACAATGGGGGAGTCACGAGGAAGCTGGCGGAGGAAGGGACGGGGCGGGGCGGGGCGGACGGATTTACAACCCGCCGGGGCAGCACAGCAGAAGGTCAGGTGTGGGTGGTGGTAGTGGGGTAGATCCAAGCTGGTGTCCAGATGTGGACGGGGCGGGACGGGGTCCGGGAGGTCCGGGTCCTCGGGGCCATAAACACGACCCTCTGGGCCGCGCCGCCGGACATAGCCCAGGAAACGAAGGCTTTATTGCTAACAAAAATTGTAGGAAGATGGATTTTGGTACACTGGTAGATTCGGGACTCCTCTCTTACCTCGATTTTAGTCCCCGGCGATCCGAGGTGTGCAACC